TTCCTGCAGCTGCAGTAAAAATCTAAAAAAAATTTGTTCTTAGAGGTTTGACAGTCTTCATGTCTGAGCCAACCAAGTGGATTTATGAGATGTCTTTAGTGTTTCCTTTATTCCCTTTCTAGAAAAATCTCTTTCCATAGCTAATTTAGGAGATGGTGGTAAGTGGCTGGAAAATTTACTGTTACTTCTCAGTCCCATTTTACCTTATGTAAACAAAAAAATAATTATACAGAATTTTCTAATCATCAATTTCACAACGTCAATTTTAGTTTGCTGTTAGCTGAAATGCTTTGGAAGAATTATTTCCCTTTGAAAAGAAATAATTGTTGCAGAAAGATTACTTGTGTTTCAAACAGATATATATGAAATACGGATATTTTTAGTATCTAATATAAATACCAAAATATATTTAAAAATATATATGCATGTATGTATAAAAAATAGTGAAACACTTGTAGTGGAATACCTATTTCATTGTATCTCCTGGTCAGTTGTACATTAAGGTGTTAGTCATCCATGCAGTCAGTGACTTGGTATTGTATATATGAAACAAGCAAGCTGGGATTAATGGCAAGATCAAATTCCTCTTTCTGTTTCTGTGATTGAATTGCTGTGGTTGCAGAGAGAAAGAAGGAACAGCATTCATAGTTTATCGCCTCATAATTTATTTCTGTTTTGTGGAAATAACTTGTAAATGTAGTTAGATGCATCTCCAGTCTCTTACTTTATTCTTGTTTGAGATAGGGGAATAGTTCTTTTTCCTAAAAAAATATGTCGTTTTTCTCAGTGAAAGAATTGGCTCTTTCATTATTGATATAAACTTAATTTTAATTTTAATATGCCCAATTGTCTGTTGCATTTAATAATGACTTGCAATAGACCATTCACACTTTTAATACATGTAATTTATTAGTTATTGTAGGCAAGCTTAGACCACAAAAATTAATATCTTAAGTGACGTGTATAAATTAGCTGGTGCTTTCAGGCTGAACTCATTCCTATTTAAGAAAAAACAAACTCTTTTATAACACAACATATTTTAAAGTCTTTAAAATTATTGGCTAGGCCACTGAAGACTGTATGCTTTCCCTAAAATATGACAACTTTCCTCTTTTTCCCTATTTTTACTCAAGAGGGAAGATCTTAAGTGTATCAGTTATTATTAGTGTTATCTCTGTCTTGCTGACAAACATTTGCAGGCTCTTGGTTTTGAGTTTCTTTTTTCCTTAAGTGCAGCGAACACATCTAATCCAAAACTTCTTTAAAATCATAATCTAACTAAATAGATGAAGAGAGATAAATAGATAAAGGGGTAATTCAATTTGTCATCAGCTTTCTTTCCGAGTTCTTGGCTGTGTGGAAATGCATGCCAATCATTGAATTATTATGGTTTCACAATCATTAGGGCTGCTTGGAAGTTGATTTCTTTGAATTTGAAATGCATCCTGTTACCTCCTGTCTATGTTTACTAGTTATTGTAAGATGTGGAGACTTGATTCTGAGCTTAGAATTTGAGTGGTAGTTTGGCTATGTGGTGTGGCTTCTTATGTGATGGGGAAAGCCATGAACAGACTAGAAGTACCTGGTTTTGACTTTTTAGCTTGAAGAGACAGAATCGGGGAATACACATTCAGTCTGCAGTGGGATTCAGCTTTGGTTATAGGTTCACCTTTGGGTGCATTTAAAGCAATGGACTGATAAAAGGAAAAAGAACCTTTCTCTCTGCTGCAGGTAATTTCCATGTTTCTTATAACATTAAAAGACAACTCTCTTAAGATTATTTTCTTCCGTAATTTAAATGTTCTACTCTCCTCTTAGCTCAGGCAAAAGCCTTCCCTGATTATACTCCTCATGTTTTCACAGGTTTTATTTTAAAATTCTTTTCCTCACATTCCTTTTCATCTGATGTAAGAGGAGCAAACAGCAACTGGTGTCCAGTGCAGCGATGGATGACAACAGCTCTCCCTGTGCTAGTGCACTTATTCCAATAGAGGATTTGATGAACCTGAGCCTTTCCTTGAGTTCTGTTGCAGCACTGGCTGTGGTTCTCAGGGTGAACAAGCTCTGAAGGCAGGCTTAGTTACCTTCCTTCACATGTCTTCCCCTGCAGCTCAAGTTGCTGCCACTGCTGTTCTGAAAGAAAAATTCTTCATCCTGGATACATAGACCTTGGCTTTTAGGTTTTAATGTATGCATTTTTTCCCCACTGTTTCCTGGGATAAGCTTTTGAAATATATGTTACATTTGATAACACTGTTGAAATACTTGTTCAGCTATGACTTTTAAGTCCTACTTTAGTTGATTTACCAATAAGCAGCAGTGAAATATATGCAAAAATTTACTGCCCAAAAAAGGTGATTTCCTCAACAGGAGCTGTGGTTCTAAAAGATATGAAGATATGACAAATGAGTTGTGTTGCACATTCTCACAGTTCACTTTTTTTTTTTTTTTTTTTTAAGGAGCAGGAGAGAAAGGAATAAGGGCAGGTGAGCTGGACGCTTTGTTTGTTTATTTAATATAAATCCCAGAAAGTTCTGGGTACTTTAGTTTTAAGTGTTTTAAGTGTTCCAGTGTTGAAATAGTTTTATAAAGCTGTTGCTATACATTTAGATTGCTATAGGTTTATGATGATGAAAGAAAAATACTTTTCTCCACTTGTCACATGTTTCTGGCTTCTCCCTTTGTGCTTGGCCATGTGATCAGCATGCTCAGAAAGTGTGTGGGACTGCATCCTTTGGGGCTGGCCCACCATGCACACTTGGTACCTTCCACATGTTCACCTGACCCTGCAGTGTTCAAATACAGTGAAAGAATAGTATTTGAAAGAGCATTCACTTGAGTTTTCAAAGCCAAATGTATTTTCTTTTTGTCTGCCCTAAAAAGAACTGAGATGTCCATGTCTAGGCTCTGGAGCAATTATAAACCCTGTATTTGTGGCAATGAGCTGGAAGAAATAAATCTACCTATACCCTGTATAACTGTTACCTGGTTTCTGCTTAACTTTAGTGATCTATAGTTGTTACATACAGAGACATGAATCATTTACATTTGTATTCAGACAGCATTTCCAGGATTATCAGCAGTGTCTGGTTAAAGCCTTGTGCCTGTCACATGAAACTGAATGTTATTTTCAAGGTGGGCCAATAATTTCTTCTGAAAGCTGCAGAAGGAGAGTAGGGCACTGCTAAGGGCTCAGCTTCAAGCTTCAGTCTCTATTTTTAGAGATGCATATAAGGGCAAGAGGGGAAAAAAAGTACGTCAGTTTTCAGGAAAAGCAGCAGTATTTGCAACTTTGAGGTACATGAGCACATTTTGAAGTTTCTGAAAGAAGAGTAGCTGGTGAAAGCATAAAGCCCATGAATGAGTCTGTTTGGGAACTTCTTAATGGAGCTACATCCCCATGTTTTACATCTTGATAAGGCACAAACTTCATGTAAGACCAGAGTTAGGATGTTTTTATTAATTTGCCTTATAGTTCCACTTAGTATCAAATGGTAGTTAGCAAATACTTTCTGACAAATGAGATAGCATTGCCCTTTCTTAGTCAACAGAGTCCTGGGTATGTTTGTGTCACTTCGAGGCTGAGCTGCTGGGAGGTTTTGTGGTGTGAGTAGACAGAAGGTATGTCTTGCATGAAATGCAAGGAATGCTCCCTGCTCTGAATGGTACTTAACAGCTGTGGCTCCAGTTTCTGTGGGATAGACTTGGGTAAAGGGCTGCTGTAGTGCAACAGCAGTTACTGGGGTACAGCTCATTGGGGCTCATTTAACGCTTTTTTGAAGGTATTAATCTGTTGTAGGGAAAATTTGGCTGAAATAAATGCAGGTGCTTAATAGCATACAGTATGCTTTTTTGGCAGATGTATTAGCAGAATAACTGTACTTTATGGTACAGTGGTTTATGGTTTTAATTTGTTTTCTATGTGTGAAATGTCAAGATAAAACGAGGACCAAATTGCGCTGCCTGTTACCTGTTGTCCTAGAAGCATAACATGGCAGCAGCACTGACTTGCACTGCATGGCAGAGGCTCTCTCCACTCCCAGGAGTTTAGTTTGAAATTAGATCAAATAGGGTTTACACTACCAAAGGACACTCTCCTTCAGGAAATTATAGTACTTTTTGGTGACATTGTAATGCATTAGGACTTACAGGGTCAAAGAACAGAAAGTAATCGTTCAGAACCTATGTAACCCATGGTTAATGATTATAAAACAGGAGTTAAACACATCTGTTTTGTACAATAGGAGGTAAAGCATTACTTTAAAGAAAATTCTTTTAAAAGGAGCAGTTTGAAAACAACTCACTTTGGAGGAAGCCTCTTTGCATATTAAGCTATAAACTACCTTGGCAAAACTTATGAGTTGACATCAAGAATCCTTTTGAAGAACTGGAGTTCTAAATGGTACCAGCATTAAAATTAGTAACTCAAGTGTCTCTTTAGGATTAGAATGTTCTTTTAATTTATTCATTCTTAAAAATTTTCTCAGACGTAGCCTTGGAAGAACCCTGGACTCAACTATTGGTGATCAATCTGTGTTCTTGTATGTGAGAAATTTTTCTAACTCGGTGTGTGTTTTTGGAATTGTGATCCTTTAGTCAGATAAAAGAGAAAAATATCATACGATTACATGGATGATCCTGCAGACATAAATCATCATAGTGCTGAGATAGACTTACGAGCCCTGCACCTTTGTGGGTCTTGACATCTAAATCTTAAATTGCCTTATCTGTTAAATGCTGTTCATGTCATTTAGCAGAATTAAATTTGTTTTATGTGAGTTTCTGTGCATATGGATTTAGTAAATGCAGACTGACACAAATTCTTACATCATGTTAAGTAAGTTGCACGTGCATATAGGTCAAACAGTGAAACTGGTAATTCTTGGTGGTTAATCTTTTGCTGCTTACCTTCTGAAAGGATTATTTGGTTTTGTCCTGCTGTAAGTAATAAGATCTGTAGATAATATTGCATACCTATTGACAGTTTTTCTCATCTTCAGGACTAATGGCAAAGAAGTAAACCAGCATGGCAGCTATGGTCCCACCTGTGAAGCTGAAGTGGCTTGAGCATCTAAACAGCTCATGGATCACAGAAGACAGTGAATCCATTGCAACGAGGGAAGGAGTTTCTGTCTTGTATGCTAAGTTAGTTAGCAACAAAGAAGTAGTGCCATTGCCCCAGCAGGTTCTGTGCCTCAAGGGACCTCAGTTACCAGATTTTGAGCGGGAATCTCTATCTAGTGATGAACAGGACCACTACTTGGATGCCCTTCTTAGCAGCCAGCTGGCACTGGCAAAGATGGTGTGCTCAGACTCTCCATTTGCTGGAGCTCTTCGAAAGCGTCTCCTTGTGCTGCAGCGTGTCTTCTATGCACTTTCTAATAAATACCATGATAAGGGTAAGGTGAAACAGCAACAGCATTCACCAGAAAGCAGTTCTGGATCCACAGATGTGCACTCTGTCAGTGAACGGCCGAGGTCAAGCACAGATGCACTCATAGAAATGGGAGTTCGGACTGGATTGAGCTTGTTATTTGCACTGCTGAGACAAAGCTGGATGATGCCTGTGGCAGGACCTGGCCTCAGTCTCTGCAATGATGTTATCTATACTGCAATAGAAGTTGTGAGCTCTTTACCTCCTTTATCTCTAGCAAATGAAAGCAAGATTCCACCCATGGGTTTGGACTGTTTGTCACAAGTAACAACTTTTCTTAAAGGAGTAACTATTCCAAACTCTGGGGCAGATACTCTAGGTCGTAGATTAGCTTCTGAGTTGCTTCTTGGTTTGGCTGCCCAACGAGGTGCTTTGAGATACCTTCTTGAATGGATAGAAATGGCTTTAGGTGCTTCAGCTGTAGTAAACACCATGGAGAAAACCAAGCTACTGCAAAGTCCAGAAGGGATGATCAGCTTTGATTGCTTTATGAGTATATTGACCCAGATGCGACGATCTCTGGTAGGTATAACCAGCTTTGGTTTTTCTGCATTGCAATGTAGTTGCATTCTTAACTGAGTAGTTTTTCCACCCCAAATGCCAATTTGCTGAATGTGTTAGAATGGGGGCTTTTTTTGTGATTCCAACCGCCCCTCCCCCCTGTATTTTCTTTGTTACCCATCACCTCTTTCTCTTCCTGCCCACCTGTTGGCTCATAGGTTAAGATGAAACAGCAAAACAGTCTTTGTGTTGTCATTTTGGTGTTATGCTCTAACTTCAGGGAAGGCAGGGAAAGACTTATACATTTAAGTTCATAGCAGAAAAAGTTAGAAAATTCAAAGTTCTGCAATACACCTTGTTTCCTGTTAGTTACTTTTATTGTACATTCCTGCTCCCCCATTCACCTAGGCCTCTGCTTATACATCTTCAGGATGTTCAGTAGTTTTGCTGATGCTCAAAAATTAATGTGATAGAAAATTAGCTAAATTGGAAGTGTAGCACACTGCTTTGTATATTGAGTGCTCACTGCTGGTGCTAGATGAATATTGCTTTTCAAGGTATGACATTTTCGCACAGTACACAGTCAGAAGCTGTGGCAAGCTTCTGCCTCATGGTGCTCAGACTAAAACAGGGAATTACTTTTTCCTTCAAGTGGTCATATTTTTCTTTCAGGCTTGTACTGCTTGTTAATAAACATAAACTTTAAAATGTAAAAAAAATCCTAAAAAAGATCTAAAAAATATTTTGATGAATAGGGTCCATGAGGGGTGCATGGCAGTAGCAGTATCTGAATTGGAATAAATATTGTGATGGGCAGCTTTATTTGCTGTTGGGTTTGGGCTATATATACAATTAGAGACCAAAATATGAAAGATATGTAAACATAAAATTAATTATGATTAGTAATTTTAAAAATAATTATCACTTTAGACACAAATAATATGCATTTCATTACAAAATAGTATGGGGAGAAATTAACTCTGAACCCAGATACTTCATAAAACTGAATCAGTAAGAATGCTGGACTAGCACTTTGTGACAGTTTTGTTTTCCTGAAGTGTATGCAGGTATCACAGCTCAGGAGAGAGATAGTGTAGTTATGCTTATATAGGAAGGGCTGTTAGTTTTTGTTTAGCGGTAAGAATAGATCCCTAATGTATTTTTTTTTAGGTGGACTATTGCTGTATTGGTGGCATATTTCTCCTAATAATAACATTTAAACATTGTAGGGATCATCTGCTGATCGAAGTCAATGGAGGGAGCCAACCAGAACATCTGATGGTTTATGCTCTCTGTATGAGGCAGCTCTGTGTTTATTTGAAGAGGTATGTCTTGGAAAAAAACTTTTAAGTTACTGTAGTTTATTTCCTTCTCACACATGTGATTGGTATGCACATGTGGGTGTAGTTAGTTATTCTGGGGTCGAAGAGGTGCAAAGAAGGTTGAAAAACTAAGATGTAGTGGGACAAAGTCATTTGGGCAAACTGTTGATACAGTCGTGGTGATTTGTATTTTAGATAGGTACTCTGTTGAGAGGCAATTAAAGCTGCATTAAACACTGTGACTGTATAGGAAGAAATATAAAATGCTACTGTGTAATAAATCTCTGGTTTGAACAGGTTTGTCGAATGGCCTCAGACTATTCAAGGACATGTGCCAGCCCAGACAGCATTCAAACAGGTGATGCTCCCATTGTGTCAGAGACCTGTGAGGTGTATGTGTGGGGCAGTAACAGCAGTCACCAGCTGGTAGAAGGAACTCAAGAGAAAATACTTCAACCTAAGCTAGCTCCAAGCTTTTCTGATGCACAGACGGTGAGTGACATCTGTTAGTGGTACATTATGTAACATTCAGCAGCTTCATAGTCACAGTATGAAATTGAAAAATAGTACTTTATTTCTGAGTGTCAAATTGTACACTCAGAAGCAAATTGTAATGAGTGATGCTCAGAACTGGTTGCACAAGTTATTTTACTGAGAATACCTCACTACTTTTATTGATGCCTGGGAAAAACATTCTGGTTTGTTTTTAGTGACAGCACACAGATAATATCCATGTGACAAGAATGACTGAATTACCTGACTTCCTCTGTGGAGACAAGTGTAGTTGCCTGTAGGTTTTTTTTTTTTGTTTTTTTTTGGTGGGTTTGTTTTGGTTTGATTTTTTTTTTAATTTTTTTTGTTTGTTTTTTTTGGTTTTTGTTTTGTTTGGGTTTTTTTTAATTGTTGGTTAAAAAGTGTCTTAATGACTCCATGTTCTTTTCCATTGGTGGTTTTCACACCCAAGATTGCCGAGTTTAAAGCTCCAAACTGGACTAAGCTGCTGACGCAGCAGCCTTAATTAGCTTTCTGAAAATCAGTCTACATGCTCTTTCTGCTCTCAGTCACAGATTCTGCCGTTGCAGCTGAACACTTCTATTGGTGCATGACCCAGATTATAATAGTTTGCTTTTCTGGTACTGTATTGGCTTTGTAGTGCTGACTTAAGTAAAAGCACTTTCTGGTCACTAGACAATTTAGGTGTATTTTCTGGAATTGTATTCTATGGACATCACTGATGATTTATTTCAATCAGTTGCAGGACTGGACATCATAAAGCAAGTTTATGCATTCAGGAAACTTTCAAAACATTTGAAAGACTAATACACAAGAGTGGAATGCATGATCTGAATGAAGGGATTAGCAACAAATTTATGTGATTTTTCCTCTTATGATTGTTGTAGGATTATCTGTATGAAGACATTCATTCCCATTAAGTAGCTGTTGCCACCTGTTTGGGGCTGGTTTATGGTGTGCCTTTATGTGTCAGATGGAACCTGTTCTTCACTTCTGCTGTGTTAAGATTCCTATAGGGAATGATTTCTATGTTAGTCCGTTTGCTGTTGGGTCATTCCTCAGCAGAGTACTGACTTCCCAATAGGGGCATGTTCTTATTTCCTTAAAAGCTTTTGATCTTATTTCTTTGATATTCACGTGATTAAAGTTTATAGTCTCAAGTGAGTGGATTTTTAGCGTTTGGTATGTTTTTGGGATGTTACCACTTGGTACTGGTTAAAATGAAGCAAAACCTACAGTGTTGTATCAAGCTGTTACTTTGTAATTTTTGCTTTTAAAACATTAAGATTTCCATCCATGAGTTTCAGAGATCTGAATGCAGCACAGTTTCTACAGTCTGTAGAAGAGCTTTAAGTAAAATGATCACTGGTAATCTATTATGAAAATAAATTGACTAGTAACATATTTCCCAAGAATTTTAGTTTTACTGCTTGCTGAAATCCAAATTATTTTAACATCGTGTTATGTTTAGTTTTTACTTCATTTTATATGAAGAAACTTAAAATTCTGTTAAAGAATACAGACTTCTGAAACTATATTTAAATTCTGGATTTAGCTAATCTCTGTATTTCTCTATTACATCCTTTTTTCTCTTTGTAGATTGAAGCTGGACAGTATTGTACATTTGTCATTTCTACGGATGGTTCTGTTAGAGCCTGTGGAAAAGGCAGCTATGGGAGACTGGGACTGGGAGACTCCAACAATCAGTCCACATTGAAAAAATTGACTTTTGAGCCTCACAGGTCTATTAAAAAGGTGTCGTCTTCAAAAGGATCTGATGGTCACACTTTAGCATTTACAACAGAAGGGGAAGTCTTCAGCTGGGGTGATGGTGACTATGGAAAACTGGGACATGGAAATAGTTCAACTCAGAAATATCCCAAGCTTATTCAGGGTCCCCTGCAAGGGAAGGTATGTTTTGTATAGTGGAGCACGTGTTTTTTTTTCTCTTCAGTTGGGATGTTGTGTAAAGTTTGAAATAGATAAAATCCTGAGAAAAAGTTCTGGCTTCTTTCAAGATTTCTCTTTGAGGCAGGGTCTGCTTTCAACAAAACACTAGAGTTTATGGTTGCCTGTTGGCCTGTGATTTGGGCAGTGGCATTATCAGGAAAGCTTCTCATAGTCTTGAGTTCAAACTTGTTCAGGGGCTTTAGCTGAATTGCAATTTCAGTTTTGCTAGTTGCAACATCAAGGCTTTCGCATGTAGCTTGTTTAGTGTCTTAAACATTTGCTGATGCTTTTTTCTCTAAGACTAGGATATCATGATGCTAAAGCTTCTTGATAAATCATTAGTAGTTTTACATGTAAACTTTTTGTGTACTTATTTCCTCATATCAAATAAACAGAAAAGATTGCAAAGAATTATGTATGTACTTGATCCATGTGAATGAACGAGTTAGTTTATGTAGACTCCTGAAACTTGACTCTCCTAAGCTTTCAGACTTCCCACTTGATTTGTGTAAAAATGTCATCTTTCTTTATGCATGTAATGTAGGTGGTTGTTTGTGTATCGGCGGGCTACAGACACAGTGCTGCTGTTACAGAAGATGGAGAGCTGTATACATGGGGAGAAGGAGACTTTGGAAGATTAGGTAATTTGAAAATTTCATGAGATGCTTCTGGAAAAAATCCTGTGTCTAGTAATGATTTTATACATCTGTTTGCCTTGTTCTGTAGTTGTCCACTCTATGTACACATACACATGTACTCAGGTGTGTGTGTACAGGTGACAAGTGCAGAGGCTCTTAAAAGTTTTTAATTCAGTTAATTTTACAAAGATTATGTCTAAAATACTTTAATTACAAGGCAAGTTGCTTTTATTAATTCATGAGACTATATGGTTGCTAATGTCACTGGAATTTAAACAGTAGACATTTTAAATAAACTGGAAGTCTAGATAAGCCTCATTTAGTGTGATGGTAGAATGATTCTTTGAAGAGTCAGTAATAACTGGCTAATAATATCAAGGGTCTGATTCTAATAATGATACTTGATGTTAAGTTTACCAGAATGGCTTAGTGTTCTTTTACCTTAATACATCTAAAAAAGTTAAATTTAACTGAAACTAGAAACCCTGTGTTACTATTTCCTTCAAGTTCACTTCTCTGTTTAGTCATCTTTGCTGTAGAGCTGCTATGCCTGGTGTAAAACTACCCTTCTTGAGCAAGTTCAGTTGAACCAACAGGTTTTGCATAGAAAAATTTTTCAAGTTCAGCTTTAGTTCCCTTCTGTTTTCTTTCTTTAAATGTCACAATCATCAAGTAGAGAGGGGTAAAAGGAAGAAAGTGGCAGGGGTGGAAGATGAGGAGATTGTTCGACAGTTACAGCTTTCAAGGGAGTCAGTAGAAGTTCTGAGTGTATCCCTGTTGTTAAGAAAATAACTCTGTATTAGATGTTTAACTGGAGTTTTGGTGGGAATTGTGGAAATGTTCTTGAGTTTTAGATTGTTGTGGAGTTTTGATGTCCTTTGGGGGTCTTGGAGTGTACAGTGTTGAGTTCCAGAATGTAGATAAATGTAACATTTCATGGGGTTATAGGAATTTGTTGGTATTTAATCAGTTATGGATACCAGTGATACTAATTTTCCTCTGTTCTCAATTTTCCTTCCATATCCACAGACTTTCTGGAGTTTAGTAGAATATAGAACTCAAGTAGGCAGTAGCTGTAATGTACTTGGTTTCTGCAGAAAGAACCTGTTAGAAATGTGGCTGCCTAAAGGCAGCTGAGGGGCTGATATCTTCAGTCAGTGCAATATGGACAGTAGTGACAGAGGGCCCTTATCACAGCTTCCTCATACTGTGCAGGATACCTGCTGCCCAGTATTGGGAAGTCTAGCTACTTAATCAGCTAGTATTGAAGGCAGTTGTACTAGCAATTATTTTTATTTCTTTTCAGCTAGGTAGAAAATAATCAGAAGTTTTAGAGGCAGTGAGATATGAACAGGTATTCTGGAGTATGTCATAAAGATTTAATGTTTAACTTTATGACAGAGGTCTTCCAAACCTTACTATGAATCTTTCCAAAAAGTTGCCAGAAGTCATCATTTGTGATGACTGCAATACATGTGGAATTTGCAAAGTCTTAGGATTGCAAAACAGATATAGGACTTTAATCTTAACAAAAAGAAAATACTTCTATTTTTTTTCCTTAGGTCATGGTGACAGCAACAGCCGCAACATTCCAACTTTAGTAAAAGATATTAGCAATGTAGGTGAGGTTTCCTGTGGCAGTTCACACACGATAGCTCTGTCCAAAGATGGGAGAACAGTGTGGTCGTTTGGAGGAGGAGACAATGGTGGGTAAAACTAATGCTTTGGTAGTAATTCTTGTCTTGTTCCATCTGCCTCATAGTTTCAGTACTCCTTGAAGTTTGGTTCTGATTTTTATTTGTCATTTAGTAGCTGTTCAAGGAAGGGATTCTTAAAAAATCTAAATACCATATCTGAAGTTCACCTGCAAGATCATAGGGTTAAAAAAAAAGATTTTCAGCAGGGGAGGAGATTCACAGAGCAGAAAGGTCAGTGAATAGATGAACAATTCTGAAAAAAGTGCTGTTCTGATGACTTTCAAATAAGCTCCCTCATGATATGACAGTAGCTAATTATATCCTACAAACTATTACATATAAACTGCCTGGGATTAGGGTTTCAATTTTAAAATAGACTATAATACATATATATTTATTCAAGTCTGAAATTACTGTAATTGAAAAGAGAATAGGTTTATAAAAATTGTAATATGTTTTAATTTTAAAAATCCATTCTGACATTTTTGGAAATTCGAAAAAATCTCTTTTGGGATACTTTCAATAATTGTGTATCCATTGAAAATACCTTCCAGTTATGTTTCCTCCCTTTGCAGGCAAACTTGGTCATGGTGATACAAATAGAGTATATAAACCCAAAGTTATAGAAGCCTTGCAAGGAATGTTTATTCGAAAAGTTTGTGCTGGAAGTCAGTCTTCGCTTGCCTTGACATCAACAGGGCAGGTAGGCAAAACAAGTTTCACTCAAATTTCGGGAGTTGGTGAAGAGAGTCTGGGTTCACATTATCTCAGCATTTATTATTTTAACTATTGAGAAAATGTTCAACTAGTGAAGTTCTTGATTAGAGATTGAAGTACCTAATGCACAAGAGTATTTCAAAATGTGCTAAGAGTAATCTAAAACATACTTTTCAAGATTCTTGTTTAGTCATAGAAAATGTAGTATTTTTAGGTTAATAAGTCTAACCAGTGTAAAATCAAATTGGTTTCAAGAAACAAACAGCGATGAAATGCTTTGTAATTTTTAATACAGTAACCAACTCACGCGATTAAGTGATTTAACGGTTTTTTGAAATGTATGTGTATATTAGAATATAGGTGTTAACTGCAAGTTTTATTTCCAATGTGAAGAATCTCAGGAGAGCTTGGAGCTAAATGTTGAGGTGGTAAACAAGGGCCCTTCCTGGCATAATGGATACATGTCATCCAATAAGCATTTCTGCATGTGTAACCCAACTGGCCCCCCCCATCTTCAGCTCTGTGACTCAGAGGCAGTGGGTTTTGTAAGTGGGGGTTGGGAGGTTAGGAGTGTTGACATTCACTACAGCAGTTTGTTTTCCTGCAGCAGCCTCCCTGGTGCTCTGTGGCACCTCAGTGGTTGGGGGAAGGAATGCACACTGTACGAGATGTGTGTTCAGTCAGGAGAATCCTGTGCACATTGTGCTGAAAGTGTAATTGCAGTCCTTGTACAGGTGGTTTGCTGGGATGTTGTTTGCTGTGCTCAGCAGTAGTACAGGAGTAGTACAGGTCTGACCTGCAGCTGTTCTGTGGTTGTTTTGCTCCAGGTTTACGCTTGGGGTTGCGGAGCCTGCCTTGGCTGTGGCTCTTCAGAGGCAACTGCTCTCAGACCCAAGCTCATTGAAGAGCTAGCGGCTACCAGAATAGTTGACATTTCCATTGGTGACAGTCACTGTTTGGCACTTTCTCATGGTAAAGAGAATAAGCTGTAAAAATATATAATCCTCCTCAAGATCAAAAACAGTTGTATTTCAGCTTTTTTCTACTTTATTTATGTTTATAGATAATGAAGTTTATGCTTGGGGTAACAATTCAATGGGACAGTGTGGGCAGGGGAACTCTACTGGCCCCATTACTAAACCAAAAAAAGTAAGTGGTTTAGATGGAATTGCAATTCAACAGATTTCGGCTGGAACATCCCATAGCCTTGCCTGGACAGCTCTTCCACGGGACAGGTAACAATGACATTTGGGAAAGGTATAATTTTATTTTTTATGCAAGTCCACTTTGGGGTACATTTATCTATTTCCTGGAAGTGTTTCCACATCATCTGTGTCAAGCATTCTGGTTGTAATGTTTTGATCTGAAAAGTCTTCCTCTCATCTTTCCTCCCTCCTCTCTGCTAATAGTTGCATGTTACAAGTGAAAATGTATCAGTGCCAAAGATTTGGATATTTCTTCTTTATGTATGAATGTTTCTTACATGTAGTTAGACAAAACCTACCTCTGTTCACTAAATATTGACAAGGGAGTCAGTGGGAGATGAAACAACTCAGTACTTTTTATTTTTTGCTTCTAAGGGGATTTTTTTATGGCTTGGGAAGTTTCGTTCATTGTAATAAGTATTACACTAATTAGGAGATTCTGGGAAAGGGGAACTTCAGACTGATTACTGAGGTGCATTTAAAGATCTTTAAAAAATTTCTGTATGGTTACATGTTAAACTGAAAATAGGTACCTAAATAAATTGCTTGGTTATTAATATACAATAACTCAAATAATACGTTTACACCAAAGAGGTTAGCAAGTGATTGAAGTGAAAGAGTAAACATTTATGTATGGACTAACACAAAGGGACAGAAAAACTTAATATTTGGAAGATAGTTCAAGACGAATTTCAAATGGCCTGTTCTCAAGGGAGCTGTCAAGTAAGGAAATAGTGCTCTGTGCATTTTATCATTCTGTAACCTGATGTTTATACTAAAACCAGATTTGTGAGTACTGGTCCGACAGTGCATGAATCAAATTAGTTGCATATAGCTTTAGATTTATGGCATTGAGGTGTTTTTGTCCATCCATAAATGTGGAGTGTTTGATTGTTGAGATTTAAGAGAGAAGAAAATACCTTCGTGGGTCAGGAAGTTGGTCTGCCGTAGTTGTATTAGTTTGCTGTAAGAAAGAAACTGGTTTAGTTAAGTGTGTATTCAACTTGTTTAAACTATTAATTTATTAAAGCAGTTGAAGATTTCCAGAAGGTAATTTTCCTTGATGTTTGATTCCAGGCAAGTTGTGGCATGGCACAGACCCTATTGTGTCGACCTTGAAGAAAGTACCTTTTCACATCTTCGTTCTTTTCTTGAGCACTACTGTGACAAAATTAACAGTGAAATTCCTCCTCTTCCTTTTCCTTCATCAAGGTATATACAGCATATACATGTTACAGATTTTTATATTTGTTTTTTCTTTACAGCAGTGGTGCATGGGTTAGTCCTGGTTAGTCTATTCTTTAACAATCGTAAGTCTGGTTTACTTGCTCACTCAGGTGCCATTTGTGAAGAATTACTCTAGTGGATTTGTATAACAGAGGAGCTTTGCAGTGTCTCATACGTAGCAGGATCTTTAGTCTGAAATTTGTTTTCGTTATGTAATGAATTAAATGCTTTGCTTCAGATTTTAACTTTAAAACACATTTTTCTGTGTAGTTGAAATGCATTTACTGTTTGTGTTGTCAGCTCTTACTCCCGTAACCAGTGTTTCAAAATTTAAGAGAACTAGAAATGAATATCCTGACTTCTTCTTTTTAACCTGGTTGATGTACTTCTAAATCTTCTGAGAGAAGATTACATTTATTGCTTCTTAAAAGTTTATTTTTCCCCTCTGTGTATCATTTTATTGTTTATTTCTGTATTTTGGGACTGTTTTGCCTCATAATTCACGGGACTAACATCCCTTGCAACCATTGTCCACAAAAGCATTTCTCTGTTCTAGTTTCAGTTTTTGTTCTTTTAAGGAAGTTGGAAGTAAGTTTCTTAGAGGAGTTTCCTTAAGCTCCCAGTGGGAGTTTACTTGCCTTTCTACTATGAAAAATTAAAGGAGAGTTAAAAGCTGAGTGCACAAATAAGTGGAACGGAGTCATGCTAATAATAGGAGAGGTTAATAGATACATATTTATTTTACAGGGAACATCACAATTTTCTTAAA